GCGGTGGATCACGCTCTTTCGGATGTGAAGAACCCCTTCCGAGCTCAGGGGCAAAGCTCGGGAGGGATGGGCTCAGGGGGGGATGCATCGACCCGCAACCGCCCATGGATTGCCGATAGGGGGCCCGACAGCCCACCCCGCCAAGGAGAGTGCGGATGCACCGCCGATTCCGGCTTTCCGCTTCCGCTCCCGGAGCTGGCCCTCCTCCTCCTCCTTCTCCTCCTCCTCCTCCTCCTCCTCCTCCTCCTCCTCCTCCTCCTCCCCCTCCTCCTCCCCCACTCCACCTCCTCCTCCTCCTACCTCCTCCTCTCCTCCTCCTCCTCCTCCTCCTCCTCCTCCTCCATTGCATGTTTTCCCTTACTCCAGCGCGCTCCGGAGCAACGGCCTGGATACTCGTCGGTCTGGCGACAGGCAGGGTCATCGGGCCCGCCCGCCTGCCCCCCCCCCCCCTCCGCCCCCCGACCGCCTGCTTGACCTCGTCGGGTGCGCAGGTCCGAAGGGGCTGCGCAGTGCTGAGGCGCGCGGGCGTACGCGGGGCCGCCCGGGCCGAAACGCTTGGCCTGTCGGCCGGCACCTCCCGCCCTGCTCCCCCACCGGAGGCTCCTGGCATCGTCGCCTGGCCTCCCCCCGCCTCCCGCCCGGCTCCCAGGTCCCCCCTGGACGGCCCCGAGTTCTGCACCACCACGCTGAAGGACCGCCGCGCCGCGCCGTCTGCGCGCGCGGGGTGGCCGCCCTCCGGGGCTCCGCCCCCCCGCGGCGCTCGAGCTTTCGGCCGAGACGCAGCAGTTGGCGGGTGACGAGAACCTAAACCCTCCTAGGACATTCGGCGATTACTTGGAGCTTTCTGGGCGCTTTCGGACGTTTCCAGAGGAGGAGGAGGCGGTGGAGGAGGAGGAGGTGGAGGAGGAGGAGGAGGAGGAGGAGGATATTGGGAGGGAGAGTGAAGGAGGGAATAAGCAAAGCAGAGGGGACGGCGGGGGCGAGGGGGATGATGACGAAGAAAAGGGATGGGAGGAGAGGGGCTGAGGGCAAGCTAGATGCACTCGCGCCATGTCTGACATCCTACCCCACCCACCCATCCCTTCCCAGTGCGCTAATTTCTCTCAATCTGCCGACGCGTGCCATGGCGGACCTGGAGTTTCCCAAAGGACCTGATCGTGTTATGCGCAGTCAGAACATAAGGGAGCTGCGTATATTGGAGAAGGGGGAGTAGCAGGAGGATGATGAGGAGGAGGAGAAGGAGGAGGAGCAGGACGACGAGGAAAAGAGATGGTGATGATGATGATGATGATGATGATGATGATGATGATGATGATGATGATGATGATGATGATGCTGATGCTGATGCTGATGCGATGCTGATGCTGATGCTGATGCTGATGATGATGATGATGATGATGATGATGATGATGATGATGATGATGATGATGATGATGATGATGATGATGATGATGATGATGCTGCTGCTGCTGCTGCTGCTGATGATGATGATGATGATGATGATGATGATGGATGCTGCTGCTGATGCTACTGATGCTGCTGATGATGTGAGGGGTGTGCCGACATGGGTCGGGCGGCCGCATGCGAATTGCGCCCCGGAGGCCTTCGGTGGAGCTTCCTCTGGGGCGACGAGACGTACGAGGGATGTGCCGAAACGGGTCGGGCGGGCGCATGCGAACCGCTCCACAGAGGCTCTCGTTGGAACCCCCGATGGGACCATGCAGCGTGTCAGGGGTGTACCGCAACAGAGACATGCGGAGGGCAGCGGCAAAGATGTGATGTGGGAGGGGGGCAGCGTGAGGGAAGGAAGGAAGGACGGAGACGCGGGGCGCTGTCGCTTCAAAACGAGGACCCACCACCACAGGATGGTTGGGACAAAATCAGTACGCGGAGAGGGCCGAATATCTTCCGAACGGGGTCAGGGGTAAGGATCGTAACATCATATAGTGTTATAGGTTGAGTAATTGTGGAGCGGGAGGGGAAGGGATGACGTGGAGGGGGGGTGGACGGGCATGGGGAGAGATAGTAGGAGGGATACAACCGATGATATGAGGGAGGAATATATTGTCCTTCCCGTCCCGCTCGATCGCTCGAGAGAGAGAGAGAGAGAGACACGTGTGGATCTGTTAGAAAGCTAAAGAGACGTCCGCCTCCACAGCAGATCATGAATTAGAGGCTTCCTTCTTGGGCACGCGCGTCAAAGCACCCTGCCTCGGTTGAATCATGACCTCTTCGATGGAGGCCGCACTGGGCCCCCATAGGGGGCTTTCCTGGCGCACTCCCCCGGGAAAGGCGCAGGCACCCTGCCGTGCAGCTCGTGGCCATGACGGAACGAGCGAGGTGCGAGTGACGAGTTGCTTGGTGGGGCGAACCCCTCTCAAAGAGAACCCTAGATCAAGGGAGGAAAAACCACCCGGACCGGACAATTGGCGTTTACTAAACGGCCCTGGGCGTTGATGAAACAGCCCTGCCCTGCTCGATTCCTTCTTTGGGCGCGTTTACTAAAGACCTCGCGTGTCGGGATGGTTATTATCGGGGTGGATTTTCTGCTCTCTACTAGAGGCTCCGTAGCAAAAAAAAAAGCAAACAAAAAAAAAGAGGGGCTCCAGCGGAGGGGCGAAGCCCGACCAGGCCTGCGCAGCTCCTCCCTCCCCCCCTTCCCCCCCTTCAGGCTTGCCCCAAGAGGCCCCCTCAAAGCGGCCAAGAGGCCCCCAAGGACGGCCCAAGAGAGGACGGGATTCCCTTCGGGGATCATCCGTTAAATTTGGAACGATACAGAGAAGATTAGCATGGCCCCTGCGCAAGGATGACACGCACAAATCGAGAAGTGTATACTTTTTGTTGTTAAAAAAAAAAGACGGCCCAAGAGAGGACGGTCCAATAGCGCTCCAAGCGAGCCCAAGTCTGCCCAACGGCATTCCAAGATGGCCTCAGATGGCTTCCAGTCGGTTCAAGAGGGCCTCGAGGAGGCCCCAGGGGCCCTCCAGAGAACCCCCGCGAGGGCTCGAGGAGGCTACACACATTGAGTTTCCTCTGGTGCTTGATGTTTTTAATGTCCTCGCCTTTTCGGGCTTCCGACGGCCCGAGACGGCTCGACAAGCCCGACAGATCGCCCCAAGACCGTTTATGAGGCCCCCAAGAGGGCCCCCCAAGAGGGCCCAAGAGAGCCCCAAGGCGGCCCAACAGGGCTCCCAAAGGGGCGCAGAGGGTCCCAAGAAGAGCCCCAGGATGGCCATGTGATGCCACCAAGAGGGCCGAAGGGTGCCGAAGACGGATCCGAGAGGGCTCCGAGAGGGCCCGAATACGATTCAGGCCCCCCACGACGGCCCGAGAGGCCCTGGGGTGGGCCCCAGAGCTTCCCAAGAGGACCACCCAGACGGCTTGAGGAGGCGAAGAGCATTGATTCCCATTTGATTTTTTCATAGTTTTTGGGTTCTCGCCTTTTGGGGCCCAGATCGGCTGAATACGGCCCTGAAGGTCTCCGAGAGGCCCGCTAAATAACAGATGCTCCCAAGAGTTCACATTGACGTAACAAGCTCGTAACACCAGAACTTCCCAGAGCGAGCAGTGACGTAAGCAACTCTGAACACCAAGCCTCCCAAGAGCGAGCGCAGCCGTAACAAGCTCTGAACACCACGACCTCCAAGAGCCCATAGTGGCGTGACAAGCTCTCCACACCAAGGCTTCCAAGAGCGATCGGTGCCGTCACAAGCTCTGACCACCAAGGCTCCGAAGAGCGAGCGGTGAAGCAAAAAGATCAGAACACCAAGGCTCCCAGGATCCCACAGTGACGTGACAAACTCTTCACACAAATTTTCCCTAGGGTGAGCGCTGACGTAAAGAGCTCTTGGCACCGAGCCTCCCAAGAGCGAACGGTTCCATGAGCCATCTCGTGCAAGTGTCTGAAGCTCTCTTTGCGTTTCCGTGCCGGTCCATGTGACGGAAAGAGCGAGGTACGAGCGAGTGACGTTGAGTTGGGGTGAAGCCCTTCTTAGGGGGGGTCCAGGGGGGGTGCGAGGCCCAGACGTATGGTCTAATAGCCCGTTTCCTTTTTGTATTTTCTCGAGTGAAGCGGCTCCCGGGCGGCTCCCATGGCCCGTTTTTTGTATTTTTTCCAGGTGAAGCGGCCCAAGGGCCCCACGACGGCCCAAGAGGGCCCCAAGACGGCCCCAGGAGAGTTTCAGATGGCCGCTGGACGGTCCAAGAGGGTCTCGAGACGGCCCCAGAGGCCCTCCAGAGGGCCCCCGAGAGGGCCTCAGGAGGCGAAAAACCTTCATTTTCCTATGATTTTTGCAGGGTTTTCGGGCTCTCCCCTTTTCCGTCCCAGAAGGGACCCAGACGGCCCAAGAGGCCCCAAATATCGTTCCAAGACAGCCCCAGAGGCGCCCCAAATTGCCCAAAACGGTCCAAGAGAGCCCCCAGACGGGCCCAAGACGGCCCAGAGGCCCCAAATATCGTCCCAAGACGGACCCGGAGGCGCCCCAAACGGGCCCAAAACGGTCCAAGAGGGCCCCCAGACGGGCCCAAGACGGCCTAAGAGGCCCCAAAGATCATCCCAAGACGGCCCTAGAGGCGCCCCAAAGGGGCCCACAACGGCCCCAGATGGCCCCCAGTCGGCCCCAATACGGCCAAGAGGGCCCCGAGGGCTCTAAGAGAGCCCAAGAGGGCCCCAAGAAGGCTCGGAGAAGCCAAATAATGAGCGATCGGTGCCGCAAAATGCTCTTCATACCAAGGCTCCAAAGAGCGAACGGTGACGTAAACAAGCTCATAAGACCAAGGCTCCCAGCAGAGAGCGGTGACGTAACAAGTTCTTGACACCAAGGCCCAGCCAAGGCTCAGGAACGGGCGGCAACGCAACAACCTCTGAACACCAAGGCTCCCAAGAGCGCGGGGTGACGTATCAAGCTCTCAACGCCAAGGCTCCCAGTACGAACGGTGGTGTGAGTAATTTCGGTCCAGTTGTTGAAGCGCTCTTTCCGTTTCCGTGCCAGCCCAGGTGTAACACGCCGCCACGTGTCGTTGACACGGGGGCGAACACAACAGCATCCCTTTCATGCTATCTGACTCGCTGGGTTTGCTAGTTTTTCGGAATGGTGTTCGAACAGAGTTCTGAATGGACACAGATGCGTCGCTCATCATCACATACCACGATTGGTGCTTTCAGTTTTCGTTTTCTTCTTCATAGTCATTTTGCGACGCGTGGTCCCAGACTGAACGATCAGATCACATGTGCGTTGCGTGTTGACTTGGTAATGTTATGTTTTTCTGATGCAGCACTTGGGGCCACTTCAAGGGCGACTTGATCAGCGCAGTTGCAAGTTGCAGTCAAATCTCTGCGACTCGTCTAGTCAACTTGGGAATTCGCATTTTGCTTGGCGCACGTTATTCTTCCACTGGCCACTCCCGTGCCAGGCCAAGCTGGGCAGCTCGCTGGTGCCTAAGGGCAATGTCGCTCCGAGCCCGGCGACCTACAACATCAGGAGCTGTGGCAGGAAGGAGCGAGTAGCGGAAGGAAGAAGAGGATGAGGAGGATAATGTGAAGGAGGAAGAGGAGGACGAGAAGGAGGAGAATGAGGAGGAGGAGGAGAAGGAGGAGGAGGCGGGGGAGGAGGAGTAAGGGGAGGTGGTAGTAAGTGATGCACACTGGCAGCGAGCAAAATAACAGTGGCATGCAACCGTGATAAACATCTTGTCAAAGTCAACCGACCATCTGCCAGTTCGACTTGACGTTGCAGCGAGCGAGCACGTGGTCCGTACGTGGAGTACGCAGGAGTGCCAACACAAACTTGAGCAATATTGTCATCCTCTTGCACCAGGTTCTTTATTTCGGGTTGCGCTGCCACGACTATCCACCCCGTGCTGCGGGATGGGATGGTTGGATGGGGACTCATCCCTTCTTCCCCCCGCATCTCTTCCTCCGCCTCACCCGACTCGCAGTCCGATGCTCCACCGAACGCCCCATGCGACGCATGTCCAGACGCATTGGCTCCAGCAACCAAGCACCCACCAGGGCCTCGGGCCCCATGATTCATTTTCGACGACGTGCACGCCGCCCAAGCCGCGGCCGATCTGCTCGATGCCCGCCCACCCTCACAGCCCGAGGCCGTACCCGACGTTGCACCCGATATGCTGCCAACCCCGCATGCGACGCTACATCCTCCATCGCACCCTGCGACGAGGAATAGAGGCTCGGATGGTGGGGTGGGGGATGGTCAGCAGTCTGGGCGACCGTTAAAAGGACCGCAGCAAATATGAACACGGGCGAATCGTGGGGGCGGTCGGCCCTCTTGAGGACCTCGAGCGGCCGACCAGCGACCACAACGCCGGCCCAAGCGCGCGTGATTGGTGGGGGGCGGCCAGCGCTCGTGACGAGCCGCCAACGAGCACACAGCCAACGCCAACTTCAGCACAGGATGCCACGCGCGCAGACGAGCACTCTAACACGTCCACTCCGTGCAGGCACGGTGGCGCATGAAGGACAACCATGCAGCGTTGGCTTCAGACATGCAGCGTTGGCTTGGCTTCACACAGATCGTAGGACTGCCAGCGTCGGTTCTGCCTCTATAGTATGACTTGATACGTCCCGCTGTCTACGTGAAGTCGACGCTGGTCAGTCCTGCTATCCAATGCGAAATCCTACCTCGCTGCTGCCCTGTCTGAGTTATCAGTGACAAGGAGGCAGAGCTCAGGTACACCTTAGGCGATGCTTAAGAAAACCTAAGTTTTCGTCCAGAGTCTCGATTCTTCTTAATTTTTCAATGTAACTCCCAAGATTTTGATAGAAGTTCTGGGTGTTATTCAAATTCTGAGACTATGAATTTCTTAACCCATGATTTCTAAAGCAGTTCGCAGGGTGTAGAACTCATCAGCTCTCCTGGATCCCTGGGCGCCTGGGTCCGTGGACCGTGTGGGCTTTTTGGAATCCTTGGCCTCTTCTTGGGCTCCCTCGACCCCTTTGGGCTCCCTCGACTCCCTCCTCCTCTTCCTCCTCCCTCCCTCCCTCCTCTTCCTCCTCCTCCTCCTCTTCCTCCTCCTCCTCTTCCTCCTCCTCCTCCTCTTCCTCCTCCTCCTCTTCCTCCTCCTCCTCCCTCCTCTTCCTCCTCCTCCTCCTCTTCCTCCTCCTCCTCCTCTTCCTCCTCCTCCTCCTCCTCCTCCTCCTCCGTGGACTCCCTGTCTTCGCTACACGGACACCCTGGACTGGTCTCCCTAGATTCGCTGGGTTGCCTGGATACCCCTGACTTTCAGATTCGCTGGGTTGCCTGGATACCCCTGACTTTCTAAGCTGCCTCGACCGCTTGGGCTCCCCATGGGCTTCCCTGGGCTCCGTGGACTCCCCGGATGCCCCGGACTCCCACAACTCGTTGGGCTCCCCGGGCCTTCATGTGCTTCTGGATTCTCTGCGTCGGCGACTTGCCGGATTCCTCCTTGGACTCCCGAGCTTCTTGGCACTCGCTGGACTTCCCTGGACTCCTGGGACTCGCTGGAGTCCCTGGACTCCTTCGAGTCCGTGTGGGCCATCGACCTTGACGCCCCCCCACTCCCTGGACCCCCCCGGCCCATTGGACTCCCTACGACCCCGTCAAACTCCTGGATGCCCTGAACTCCCCAGACAAACCCCAGGGCTCGTTAGATTTCGCTGGACGTCCCGGGATTCGACTCCTTGGGGGCCCTGGATTCCTTGGACTCTTTGGAGTCCTTGCGCTCCCTGGATTGCCCGGGCTCCCCAGTACGAACGAAGACGATCGGTCTGAGTACGAGAGACTGACAGTGGGCGATTGTGAACGCGAGTGAGCCTGAACGTGACTGAGTCTGCGTGCGAGTGAGTTTACGTGCGTGAATGTCGACGCCCATGTTGGCGCGCCCCTCGCGAGGATCGCGCCCGCTTCCTTCCCTTCTTTTTCTGCCTTTTTGCCCTTGCACGCCAATGTTCAAGGCTGCGGGCGCAGCGTAGCACGGAGTCCCCGCGACGCGCGCCAGTCGCCCCGAAGGGGTCCCAGCGAAGCGCGCGGGTCGTCCGCTGCAAGAGAGTGAGTTGGCTGGCTGGTAGCAGGCAAGGCTCTGGCCGCCGGGCAGAGCGACGACGGGCGAGCGAGGCGCTGGGCAGAGCGCAGCGCGGAGTTCCCGCGACGCGCGCTGGTCGCCCCAAGAGGGTCCTAGCGATGCGCTCGGGTCTTCCGCGATACGAGGCCGAACAGCTGGACAGTCGAGAGAATGCGCGGCTCGTGTAGACCGCTCATCAGATCAAGCCTCGCGTATGAGTTCGGTGAAGCCCAGCTCCCTGGCGAGGGCCGGCGCCTCCCTCCTGCGCCGCTTCGTGCGCGCAGCAAATTGCTCCAGCTGTTTCCACAAACCCTCCGGCGGCCCTGCCACGAAGAATTCGATGCGCGGCGCCAGCGTGATCAGGAGGTTCTCGTGGCGCGTGGCGCGCTAGAGCAGCGCGTAGAGCCCCAGCCACCAGTCGTCGCTTTTCTTTTTGCCGTTCCCGACCTCGAGGCGGCCGCAGTCCAGGATTGCGCCTGGGGGATGTCGGCCGAGGGAGCAGCGCACTGGACGGCCGCCGAATCCACGACAAGTGGAGCCTTCGGTGGAACTCCCTATAGGGCCACGAAGCGTGTGAGGGGTGTGCCGAAGTCGGTGCGTTGGGGCCATGAGAACCCTCCCCACTGAATCTTTCAATGGGACGCCCTGTGGGCCCACGAAAGGTGTGAGCGGTGTGCCGAACTAGGTGCGGTGGCGCCGTGCGAACCCTGCCACTAATGCCTTCGGTGGAACTCCTTGTGGGCTCACGAAGCGTGTGGTGTGTGTGTGTGTGTGTGTCTGTGTGTGTGTGTGTAGGTGCCGAGGTGGGTGCGGTGGGCGCATGCGAGCGCAGCCACTGGGGCCCGCGGTGGAGCCCCACTTGGGGCCACGAAGCGTGTGACGGGTATGCCGACATGGGTGCGGCCGGTGCAAGCAAGCGCAGCGAATTGGGGCGTTCGGTGGAGCTCCTATAGGGCCACGAAGCGTGTAAAAGGTTATGCTGAATGTGGTGCGGTGCCCGCGTGCGACGCAGCCACTGGGGCCTTCGGTGGAACTCCCTATGGGGCCACGAAGCCTGTGAGGTGTGTGTGTGTGTGCCGACATGGGTGCAGTGGGTGCGTGAGAGCGCAGCAATTGGGGCCGTCGGTGGAGCTCCCTATGGGGCCACGAGGCGTATCAGGGGTGTGCCGACATGGGTGCGGTGCCCGCGTGCGAACGCAACCACTGGGGCGGGTCTTCGGGGAGTTCCCATATGGGGCCACGAATCGTGTGAGGTGTGTGTGTGTGTGTGTGTGTGTGTGTGTGTGTGTGCCGAAAGTGGTGCGGTGCCCGCGTGCGAGCGCAGCCACTGGGACCTTCGGTGGAGGTCTTTCTGGGGCCACGCTACGTGTGAGGGGTGTGCCGACATGGGTGCTGTGCCCGCGCGCGAACGCAGCCATTGGAGCATTCGTTGGAGCTCCCTATGGGGGCTGCGGTGCCCGCGTGCGAACGCATACAGTGAGGCCTTCGGTGGAGCTCCCTTTGGGGCCACGAAGCGTGTGAGGGACGTGCCGACATGAGCGGCGATGACTCTGACGAGAAAGGCGATGATGATGATGATGACGATGATGATGATGATGATGATGATGATGATGATGATGATGATGATGATGATGATGATGATGATGATGATGATGATGATGATGATGATGATGATGATGAAAATGACGGACGATGACGATGACGATGACGATGACGATGTTGATGTTGATGAAGGAAATTATGATGGGATGATGGGATGAGAATGTGATGATTGGACGATGGGATGATGGTAGGAGGAGGTGGGGGGAGGAGGGAGGAAGAGAAAAGGAGAGGTGGGATGCGGGGCGCGGTCTTTTCAAACCGAAAACACAACACCACAGGATGGTTAGGAATAGTCATGACCACGCACAGAAATCCCCATTTAACCAAACACAAATATGAACGGTTGGAAACGGCTTGGCTCAATAATAGTGCAGGATAGGACGCGGTAGGATGCACAACCAGGCGGCGAACGCATAGGAACATCAGGAACACACGCACACAGGAGTGCACAACAATTCGCGGGAATGCGTAGGAATACGTGGGACTGCGCAGGAAGACGTTCGAATGCGTAGGAACGCGCATGAAGACATGATCCAGGGGAGAGAGTTCCTATGCGCACCTGCGGGAGGGGGAAGTGAGAGAGGACCCGCCTTCTCAGAATGCGGCGGGGCTTCTTTCAGAAGCCCTCTGGCATTTGATAGGTCATCCGTCTTCGGAGGAGGCCCAGAAAACTTCTCAGAAGGCCGGAGGCCTTCCGAGCCGTCTGAACTTCCCCCCAGGCCCGCCGCCGACGGGCGGGATGGGTCTCGGGAGCCCTTGTTTTATCGCCTGACGATAATGGAGGAGGAGGAGGGGGAGGAGGAGGAGGAGGAGGAGGAGGAGGAGGAGGAGGAGGAGGAGGAGGAGGAGGAGGAGGAGGAGGAGGAGGAGGAGGAGGAGGGAGGCGGCCCGTCACGTCACGATTCACGCTGGCGCCGCCTGGGCATGCCTCCGAATGGCTCATTCCTAGACGGCGCAGGCGCGCATCGTGACGTGACCAGTGGGAGGGGGAGGGGGGGGGGCAGGGCCAGTCACGGGCGCTACAGGCGACCCGCACCATGAGGATGAGCAGCTTTCCGAGGTTGCCCTTGCACCCATCCCCTTCGGCCCATCCTTGGCCGCTTCCGCTGGCCACGCCCCGCTCGCAAAGTGTCGACATTGCCTTCCAAGGCCCATGCATCCGCAGGTTGACTCTAAGGGAGAAGTGGGCTCCTGGACTCGTCGCCGCCGAAGGGCGGGATGGGTCTCAGGGTGCACGTCCCCCGCCCCGACGGAGCGGGGGACGGGGGGGGGAGGCATAGGCCAGCGTGGCGAGCTCGCGGGTGCGGACTGCAGCGCAGAGGCCTTCGGCTTCAGGAGAGGTCTGGAGGCCGTTTTCGTCGTCGTCGTCGTCGTCGTCGTCGTCAGACCTTCACCTTGGGATAACGAACAGGACTACACAGCAACACGTTGGGATGCAGATGGTGCAAAGGCAAAGCAGGGTGTATGTGTGTGTATGTGTGTGTGTGTGTGTGTGTGTGTGCGTGCGTGCGTGCGTGCGTGCGTGCGTGCGTGCGTGCGTGTGTGTGTGTGTGTGTGTGTGTGTGTGTGGGGCCCCAGGACCAATCCTAGGCAGCGAGCCAGAACTCCTGCAGGCAAGCCCACCTGGATAACAAGCCAGGAGATGCGTGATTAGGCGTTCGATCATGAGCTCCATGTCGAACGCAGCGACCTTCAGGCTTTCTCACCGGAGACCGCCGAAGTCCGCCGGAGACCACCGAAGACCGCCGAAGACCGCAGAAAGACCACCCAAGGCCGACGTGTGACGAGGGGTCCATGATCGAACACCGGTGGGGAGAAGACGGCTTCGCGTGTCGAATTGCTTTTGCCTCCGGCCGGGAGTGGCCTTAGGCCCTTCTTGGCCCGCCTCTTCTTCACCTTCCACTACTCCAGACTTCGTAAGAAAAGGGAGGGGGTCTGGACCCTCCAAGACAAGCCATTTCAGACCCCCCCCCGTGGGAGAACCCTCCAAAACATCGTCCCCAGACCCCCCAGGCCCTCCAAGATAGCTTGGAAGAGACCCCCCCCGAAATGAGACCCCCCTCCCTTTATTATTACGAAATCTGGAGTACTCTTCTCGGCCCTCGGCCGAGGGTCTTCACGCTGGTGGCAGCCTGCTGCTTTCGACTACAACTACAAGACGGCCTCGCGTCCGCCCGGCACGCTCGCTGTGCGGGAGTGCTCGGCGCTCGCCCCTCTCCCCCTTGGGGTGCCCTCGAGGAGGAGCCCGGACGCCCACCTGCCGGCGTACGGCGGCCCGCGGATGAAGTACGGCGGGCGCCCGAGGCGGCCAGTGCTCCTCTCTGCAGCCGCGCGCAGGGTGGGGCAGGGGGGGGGAGGCCCGCGCCTTCTGAGAAGCAGCCTCCTTCTTAGAAGCCTTCCCCCCCTCCCCCGTGACTCCGCGAGCGCGCCGCCAGTGTTTCTCTTGGCGGTGGAGGAGGATCCGAGGAGGAGAAGGTGTTTCTCTCTCTCTCTCTCTCTTTCTTTCCCTCCTGCCCCCCTGCTTTTTCGGCCTGTTCAAGCACGGTGGGGTCCCCTTCTCATCACTTTGAAAGTTGGTAATGTTCATCGTCAGGCCTTCACGCGTTAAAACAAGAAAGGCGGGAAATGGTACCGATTTCGCTACTCTTCCTTCGTTTGGGCCTTTTTGGATCTCTTGGGAGGCCCTCGTCGCCAGGGCTGTATTCTCCTCGAAGTTATGGTCAGGACGCATCCCAGGGGAGGTCAGGGGATCAGCGGTATAGATGCTTCTTTGCCTCCCCAGAGGATGGCTCGGGCAAGGGCGATGACGACGAGGAGGAACATCAAGACGAGAAAGGCAAGGATTACAGGAGGCAAGC